TTACTTACAATTTCACAACGCAGGTGTTTTTTTACTCTTTATACCCTTAGTAACTCTAAGATGTTTTTATTTTAATACGTCTTTGTAGCTGTAGTAACCACGGAAAGTCCGTTGTGACGTAGGAAGGAGAGAAGATGCAAAATAATACGGACACTTCAGCACAGGGATAAAGTTTTATTTAGCTTGCGTGCGCGATTTATTTCATTAATAATAACTATGTAGGCTATTGCCACAGAGTAAAGAAGACCAGAGGGGAAGCTTTCTAACAACGTCGAAAATCTATACTTATTCTGATAGGGTTATCACCTGATGCAAGTGAAAATTCAAAGGAAAAAAGGAAAAAATAAAAATATTATATTGTATAAAATAACATGTGTATTCATTGTAACTTAAGTTAATATAATAACATGTCTGTTATTTGTAATTAAAATTGAGACTGCAAAAATTGTATATTTTGCTTATTTTCATGCTTAGCTTCACATTACATATACATATCTATTTTTCTATCAATATCATTTACGTAAGACAATGTATTCATGAGTACAAAAAATCAGATGGTATTAGTAATGACTGTGATGATGGTAGTGGGCAGTGGCTGTATTGATACACCACCACCACCAATGTTACTACCAGGATGATGGTGACGGTAGTAGGGGCTGTGGTGGCGATGCTGGTCGTGGTGGTAGTGCCAGTGGCGGTCCACTGTCCACCACCACTAATGATACTACCAGCTATCCAGCACCACCACAATCACCGACACCATTATCAGCACGTACAGCACCACCATCCACCGCTACCAACACCGCACGATCAGCACCACCGTCCACCATCACCATCACCAGCACTACTACCACTACCACTAACTGCACCACAGTCTGGCTATTGTATTATTTTCTCTCGAATTTTCATACATACTGTACAACTTATACGAACACTAATTATCTAATATAAATATATACTTATATATCTATAATGTCTTATTTTATAGTACACAATCTCTAAACTTAACTCTAATTGTAAAAAAAATTAATAAATTTCTATAAAATCACGAAATATTATTCGTCTATTTATTTCAATGCGCGTGACCAACAGCCCTTTCATTTACACTCTGACTGAGCCGGCGCAAACCGGTTTGTACCTTGACGAAGCTTCGGTGAACCTGTCGGTGAGAGCTCATGCACACATCGTTGCGCTATGTGTGGGTGTACCCGAAGCGAGACGTTTGTATGTAGCTTCCCCTCTGGTCGGTTTCTTTACTCATGTGCTATTGCCATGTAGTGGCGGTTAAGAATACCCACTACCCCATATCTTCCCGTGGGTGTCGTAAGAGGCGACAGTGGGAAACAGGCAGGAGATGGGCAGCAGCATCTTCCTGATGACAGCAATATTACAATAAAAACTGCGGTTGCCAACCCGCTCGCCAAGCGTGGCAACTATGGCAAATATCCCCCCATGATGAAAGTTACAAAGAGACGGCCCCCAGTCCCCGGCGGCCCCGAAAGAGTTCCATTTTCAAAATTTGAACTTCTTTTTTTATTATAAACTTTACAAGTGGCCAGTTCTAAAAACTTTTAGTGTCGCCCTCGTATACCTACTCAACCGTCCACGGTAACTACAGTCCCCAAAAACAATTATTGCCTCACCTATCCATGGTGACTTATGTCCCCAAACGACATCTTTCGGTTTAAACGTGTACAGTGCAAAAGATAGCTGTTATTAATATAGTAAAAAATTATAGATAGTGCTATATGAAAATTGTCATCTGTGAAAGAGAATTTTATCTGTATAATAGTAACAAAATATTTAGAAAAAAAAGTAAAATTAAATTTCGCCATTTTTGTTTGTGGAATGTTAAAGTGTGAGAAATTCGATCAAAAATGTGATAACTTTTCTATTTTTATACGTTATTTGTAATGTTATTGCACATCAAACTAGTTGTGAAGATATTTTCTTTAGTAAATATGTATCGTTACGACAATTCCAAAACGTTTACATATAATAATTTAGCTCGAAATTTTAATCACTATACGTGATCATCGTTTATTGATTATATGTTGTTTAAAATGTATTCTAATCAGTTTTTTGTGTTAAATTAATGCTAAATATAAAAGAATGATTCACTATTAACACGTTGGTAGCAATTTATAAACGAAATATCTGTTGATCTGTTGAGATGTGATGGAGATGTGTCTAGAAATTTTCAAAACTTATTTTTATTTATTTATTTACTTATTTATTCAAATTTATATTGGGTAAACATTATATACTTATGTATATTGAGTACATAAGATATTATTGATATTGGTGTCATTTTAAAGGGAATATCATGTAGGTACTATTATAATATAAAATTTACATTAGTGTATATTTCGTATAATAAAAATATTTTTAATAATGGGGGTTTTTAAATTATATACAATATTAAAAACTATAATAATAAAAAAAACTAAAACTAGAAACTTAATTATCATATAGTCCTACTCCCCGCGGTATCGTGCCAAGAACGCTGGCTGCGTTTCCCCACTGAATGGCTATACTTAGCCTTTGAGCGAGAAAAGAACCAGCCATCTTATCACCAGCAGCAACGACCAGCCGCGGATGGAGTTCCTTTAAGAACTTCACCGCACGTGGACCCCACGGACCGATAGTCTCTACAGCAAATGGCACAAATATGTAGTCATCTCTCAGAGACTCATATTTGCGCCACTCACTCAGTTCAGCTGCCTCTGATGCCGCCCCGGCTCTAAACGAGGTACCCCTGAGATGAGTGGCCGCCAGAGTGTCTACGCAAGTAGCATCCCACAGGCTTTACCTCTCTCCCAAGGGACCAATGTCATACCGTCGGGTCTCCTGCCATCGTCTCTAAATATTCCACAAGGCTCTAAAACCGAGGGAACATTTATAGAGACAAGAGCCCTTCGGATGACATCATTCAAAGAACTGTGTCGTGAAAACCTACCAGCGCTTTTCTTACATAAAAGTCCGTGGAGCTCAAACTTGTCGACGCTGCTACCACAGGGACACTCATGGACACTCATCATACGCAAGCTTTCTCCATCATGTAATGTGCCGAGATTACTTGATGGTAAAGCGTGTAACCAGTGACTAGATTCCTTACTCGAAACAGCTCGAAGGCGTGCCTTATCTTCGTCACTATGGAAATTATGAAACAAATCTTTCTGCACGCCCCGTACCAACGGAATATCCCACTGTTTTTGTTGGTTAACTTCCAGCGGAACATTTTCACCGGGACAGAGCGTTTGCCATGTCTGTCCTGCCTCCGTAGCAAAGCATAGGTCTACTTTATTATTTAAAATTATGTTACATAAGTCACTGACACTATTCACGGAAGCAAGGAAAGCAGGCAATGCAACGCTAGAAAGATTTCTCACACCAATGCCACCAAATTTTATTGGTAAAGTAGCTTGAGTCCAGGCTGTTGTATTTAAAGTTAAATTTAGAATTTTTTCTATAGCTATTTTAAGATTATTATCAATATCTTTTAAAATATCCGAACATTTCCAGACTGGACTCGAGCGAAGTATGTAAATCTAGGTACAAGAAGACAATATTTAAAATAGTAAGAGCTATGTGGGGGTTTAATTTATACAATTTATCAACGTAGTTTAAAAACTGATCAAATTTTGTTTTTAAAACAGATTTAATACTATCGAAAAACAACGGGGCACTTAGCAGGTATAGTGATTCCGTACTGACAGTTTTTATTCCTGGAGAAACATGATTGAAATTTTGAATTAAACTGTCTCTATGAGAAGTAGATAAATTATTGGAAAAAAATATTTCACATTTATTGCTATTCAATATTGTTCAAGGCCAATATTTTTAAAATTTCGAAAAATATGAGTAAGATCATTGAGGACGTCATCTGCTCTACCTCCCAGTGTACCGCCGTCCAGGTACCAGACATTCAGCTTGGATTTCAAATTTGAAATAATGGGTTGAATTCCCAAACTGAAAAGTGTTGGACCTAGTGGGTCACCCTGCTAAACACCGACAGCAGAATCGATAAGAAGGTTTTCGTAAAACAAGTTAGTATTTAGACTATAACATTGCCAAACGTAATGATAAATTTCGGGTGTATTGTTAGCCACGTCTTTCAGCAAGGTTACCCTATCGATAGAGTTAAAAGCATTCCTTAGGTCAACCTTCACAAGAACATCTGCATCAGAGTTTGTTAAAAATGTACCGCCGCCTCACAGCCACCTCTAGTGCCAAAGCCTAGTTGAGTAGGCAGAAATTTGGTCTTAAGGTTAGACATTATGTGCCTGCAAGCTAATTTTGAAGTTAAGCGTCGAAATGTAGAACCAACGGCAATGGGACGAATACCGTTATCCTTTTTTTTGAAGGCACATAATCTTGCCCCATATAAGAATGGAATGAAATTTGGATTAACATTCCCAGAAAGCATAAAGTTACATAATTGTGTAATGTCTTTAAGAAGTACAGTGACTTTTAATGCGCGGACAGGTCAGGCGAGAATCACTCGCGCAGGGTGGAAAGTTAAGTGGATACTCTAAATTCGTAGGCTAGAGTAGAGGGGGTGGTGTAATCGACACTTAAAAATTTGGTTTTATTAACTTTTTGCACTTAATATTGCATTTTATGCATTTTTAACGATGTTGCAATTATATTCAAGCAAGGTGCAGTTTTTCCATATTGCAAAAAGTACCCAATTCTAATTATTATATATATCTTTAACTATTTTTTATTTCTAAACTACATGGGTGCAGTTTATATAAATAATTAATATTTTTGAGATGTGCTATAATGTATTTAGCACAGGCTACCTTTACATAAACCGAAACTATATAGGTTATGTAGTCTGTCTGTGGCAGAAAGCACGTGTTGTACGAAATGTCACACTCACATTTGACAAGTGTCAAAATAAAGTAAATGTGGTGTTTAGCATTTACATTTTCTTAACTATTTTTAATAAAAATCTTTGTTAGATATTCAAATATTCATAAGTATAAACAGAAATGGCTAAATTTAAATTGAGTAAGTAATGGTTATCCCATTCATTTACATTTTTGTAGGACTATTTATTAAATTAATCATTTTTAATTATTAGTATAGATTAAAGGAAATTACAAAACAAAATAAGTTAAACATTTTAATATTTATAGTACTTTTCGTTTTGCTTCTACTTTTAAAATAATTATTAAGATAAGGTCATAGATTTTAATTAAAAATAATATATCCTCGTTTTAGAAAAACCATCTAAAAGGCAGCCGGCTCGACTCCGGTATAAAATTGAGAAGAAAGTGAGAGAACACAATAGAAAATTAAAAAAGGAGGCAAAGAAAAATCCTAAATCCAAGAAAAACAAACCTATTCAAATACCCAATGTGTGCCCTTTTAAAGAAGACATTTTAAAAGAGGTAGAAGCCGTAAAGAAACATAAAGAAGAAGAAAAACAGAAAAGGAAAGAGCAAGCTAAATTAGAAAAACAGAAGAAATTAGAAGAAAAGAAAAATAACCCAGTTGCTATGGATACTTTGGTAATGTTCTAATTAATTCTGTAAACTGCTTATTTTTTTTTGTGGATGTAAATAGACAACTTATTATTGTCTCAAACAGCCGAGAAATACGGGGAAAGGGAATACTATTTTTCCGTCCCAATAAAATCTGGGCGTTTTCAAAGCTAGAGTGAATAGGCTTTTATTATGCTAAGACAGTGCGATTTACCATCTAGAGCTAAATCAACACTTACCAGCAGGTGGGATTGTGTTCAAGCACTGGCTTATAATAAGTGAAAAATAAAACCAGCATTCAACGAGGGCAGTATTAAGTGCTTTTCCGTGGGAATGTCTCAAACCAAATTAATTACTTTCCACATAAACAAATTAAAAATTTTGTAGTAATCTTCTCTTCAGGACCTTATTGAAAGTTTCTTTAAAGTCAAGATAAACAGCAATGGGTTCTTTCTTATTTAAGTGTTTTGTCTATAAAGATAAGTGTGACAGCAAATTGATCACTATTGAGCTATGCAGGCATAAACAACATTGCTATTTGAAAATGTTTGCTGTGGTTGGCAAAGAATTCCCTGACCTTTTTCTATACCTACCTTATATATACAATACTGATGAAACTTATGGCCCTATAGTTTGATGGTTTCTATTTGTTTTCTTTGTCAAATATTGGCGTATCTCTTTTTTACAGGTTTTTACAGGTCTACCAGACCAGAGTTCCATAGTCATATGATGTTTCAGTGAGCATATAGAATATTGTTACTGGGATGTCATCCTGGCTTGGCAAAGAAGCTGTTTTTATTGTTACATTGTTATGGACACATTACACAGTAACGGGTCCAAAACTGGTTTTATCCATCATATGACTAAATCTTCCAACATACACTTATTCATCATGTTTCTGGGGTTGGCTATAGATATCCGGTACTTGATTTTAACTGTTTTCAGTTTGTCAGGGCTAAGCATGAACCTTTTACACTGTTTTTGAATGTCGGAAATGCATTTTGAATTAATTACAATAGAAATAAATTTCACTAAAAATTCCATATAACGAAATGCAAATATGACAATTTTGTATAGTGTTATGAGATAAGATGTCAAAAACCGATGTAAAAAGTGTGAAATGGGAAGGTGTTGACGACCATGTTTTGGGCAACTGTAAATGTCAAATATAAAATTGTCATTCCGTTTCTCTAGTGGTCATGCAAATGTTCTCTCTTGTGCTTAGTGCTGTGTTTTCCCTGTTTTTTGCCGACTTCTGTTCTGTTTTTGGACTTTTATGATTTGATTTAAAATTACATTGTTTCATTTACCACTATCGCAGCAGAGTTTAGGGAAACCTGACTTTATAGATAAGATAGATTGAATCTGTACTAAAACTTAATAAGAACACCCAGAATCCACGTAGTCTTGTCTGCCCTACCCCTAGAGTGTTTTTGTAGATTTTTGCAGAGGGAGAGGCAGAGCGAGCCGTAGCGGCTGAGGCTGCTCGCCTAAGGCAACCAATAATCCAAAGCTGCGGAGGTGAGCATGGGTGCCTGTGATCGGCTTCGCAAGGGCGAAGGGGCTGCATTTCCCGCAGCGCCGAAGCCGATTGCAGAAGTAACTTTGTGTCAATATTCCTGTGTAAAAAAGTGAGGATATGATTTTACAAAAAAAAAATTATTACTCAAATTATACATTTCCACAAGAAGGGAAGGGAAGGCGGGTTCCCCTGAACCCTCCCTCTCTCCCTCCCCCTCCCACCCCCGCACGCGAGTACCGGATGTCTATAGTTTAACCTGTTTCTGCTCACAGAATGTTGCAAATGTAATATTATTTTTTGTAGGTAGCTAATGCAGAGGCAAGAGGCAAGGTTCATGATGCATTTAAAGGCAATGATAATGCAAATGATAACATAGAATTTGGTAAAGACAGACAACAGGAGAACTCCCTAAAAACATATTATAGAGAATTTAAAAAAGTTATATCTGAAGCTGAGGTGATTTTGGAAGTAGTTGATGCGAGAGACCCATTAGGTAAGTTTTTTAAATTAATTTCTAGTGTTGCATTTCATGTATAATAATATAAGGTCAACAATGGAAAATAGACAAAGTGCTGTGTACATTTGAAGTGATACTGAATCATCACATAATTTTTCTTCCTTTTTCTATGTTCCTGCAAAAGTTAACTGCTGGATGCACATATATGTATCAAAAATCATGTTGTTAGTTGCAAATGATTTAGATGAATATGAACGTGAGAGTGTGTTCTTACAATAAGTTGAGCATGGTTTTGGCTTGGTTATGATATTACTTGAAATCCATGCAGTACTACGTGGTAGAGCCATGCTGCAGCTATATTAGTAATATAGTTGTAGCATGAATGGGTCGGCTCGACCGGGGAAGTACTACGCTTTCACAGAATACCAGTGTAAAATAGCAGCTTAACGCTGACGTGTTTTGTATGGTGAGTGTAGAGAACCGGAGACCCTTTTTACTGGACAAGAGGCATTCCATCTTAGTCCTCATGGGTGACAACGCTTCTGCATTTTGAGTCCTTATTGAGGATAGATGTAGATGTCTATGGGTCACAGTAACCACTTACCATCAGGTGGACTGTGTGCTCGTGTGTCACCCGATCCTATAAAAAAAAAAATAATGAATGGTTCCTAAATTTCATATTAAATGAAAAACGTGAATTCTTCATTCTATACTACCTTTACTATATCAATGTGACAGGTACTTCTCCCTCCATTCCTTTAAAAATACCAAAAATAGAAGGAGACCATATATATAGAAGTAAGTTAATGTGGATTTTATTACTCAATAATATTTTTTTTAGGTACAAGATGTGTTCAAGTAGAGGAAGCGGTTCGTGAATCCGGCAAGCGTTTAGTTTTAGTGCTTAACAAGGCAGATCTTGTGCCACGTGGCAATCTATCAGCATGGTTGAAGTATTTGCGTAGGTTTGCGCCCGCAGTACCTTTCAAAGCCTCCACGCAGGATCAACAGCATAATTTAGGCAGAAGGAAAATGAAGCATATTGTTAAAGAAAAAGAAATGAAAGGTAATTGTTTTCTTTTTTCAAAATGACACCATTTCTGAACTTGCTAACAATTGTTACTAATTATTGGCTAAAACTTTGTAGTTGATGTAAAAAAGTAAAAAGGACATTTTTCATCTGGAATATGTATATATTACAAATATACAACCACCTATTGGATATCATGAGATTTTGCTGGCATTGGTTGTTATTGAATCTATCAACATGCACGAGACAAAACCCCAATTATCTTATGCAGCCCCGCCCCAGCTTCACACGATTGATTTCTGGATCTCGACAGCTACGCCACCTACCGGGTCCAATTGTGAATCTAAACCATTCTCTAATCAACTTAATCACACACACAAAATTTCATCAAAATCGGTCCAGCCGTTTAGGAGGAGTTCAGTCACATACACACGGACAGAAGAATTATATAATATATAATATGCATGTATTATACATATAAACCTTCCTCTTGAATCACACCAAAAACGCACACACAGAAAACCACATCAAAGTCTGTTACCTATTTTAAAAGATCTAAGTGTACAGACGGTTTTGTACTTTGTTTTGTACTATGTAGAGATAAAAGTGTAAATTGATAAATTTAGAGACTATTCATATTACTACTGGGCCCGAGCTTCACAGAATTAATCTGCCGTGCTGCTCCATTGCTTGGTAGCAAACCTTATATGTCTTTGAAATATTAAAGTTATAAACAATAATTAAAAACTGTATTGCTTACTCAGCTAAATGAGATTACACACTGTTTCTTACAATTCACTTTGTCAAATTTTTTCTAAACGATCTATAACCGTTTTATGCATTAAATTCAAATTAATTTCAAAAATGTGTGGATATATTTTCAGAAAATATAAAATTACGTCTTGTACTGTTTCAGGTTCAGCATGCGTCGGAGCAGAGCTTCTTATGAGCCTATTAGGAAACTACTGTCGCAACAAAGGCATTAAGACTTCGATTACTGTAGGCGTCGTCGGCTTGCCTAATGTTGGCAAGAGTTCTATTATCAACAGCTTAAACAGATCGAAAGCCTGTAATGTTGGCAGCACTCCTGGTGTTACTAAGTGAGTTTTAGTAGAGTTACAAATTGTGCTTGCCATTGTTAATGTTTCCAACGTTTTCCATTTACTGTGATGATATAAATAGATTGAATCTGTAACACATATATATATATATATATGTACATCATAATAGTATTGCTCGGTGACACCGACAACTCGGATACAGACTTGGATCAGTCACTTGACCGAACTGCATATTGTATGAGGGCGAGCGGCCTGTTTTGGTAAACAAATCCGAAACAACACGATCATTATTATTGTAATTTTTAAGTTTAAAAAGAAATAGCAATAATGTGATTAAAAATAATTTGACAAATCTCTTTTGTATAGCTATAACTAGACAATTCGGTATTTTTATAGGACGTCGATTTAGCGACGCGACTAGTTTTATTGTACACATAGGACCACATGGACTTATACTTTGACAGAGGGAACCGCCTGATTATGGCTACTCTCCTCTGGTCCGCCGATGGCCCATGTTGCTCTATGGATAGAATAGAATATTTTTTATTTAATATAGATTATAAATAATACTTTTTGAAAATCATTTATGCTTTTACTGCTGGTTTGGAGAAAGCATCTGTCCTCAGAAGGATAAGCAATGGTTACAGTAAACTTGAATGTATGGTTAATTTTTATAAAATGGAACTTTTGTTAAAATAATTACCACATAATAGAAGCTATTAGTATAAGTATAAGTAGCACTTCATAGACATAGTGTATAGAAGAATTAAACCCCAGTTTATAGAGCTATCAAGATGAAAATTATCTTGTTCTTTTTAGTTTTTGAAGTCGGATTTTACTTTTTATCAAAAGTTTAATTTTTTTGGCCCTTATGACTGGTTTAAAGAATATCGCAAGCTCAAGGTAACAACTAGAATGATGTATAAATAATTATATTAAAAACTTCATGTTCTATATTTCACACCCTCAGGAGTGGATTTTTTATTCAAGTTTATATTATGGGATCACCGCTAGCTTATAAAGTCTGCAAAAAAATTTTTCAACATAATATATAATTTGGAACAGCTAGTTTCGTAATCTAAACTAGCTATTCCCCGCGACTTCGCCTGCGTGGAATTTTGTGTGCGGAACCCTAAAATAAAAGTAGCCTCAGTCACTCCTTATAACGTCAGTTATCTGCCAGTGAAAGTCCCACCCAAATCGATTCACAGGTTTTTACGTGATGCGTGCTCACGCCAAAATAGCTCGCAAATGACAGATTTTTTTTTTCAGATTTCCTTAACATTTATCGTTATATTTTGGTCAATTGATTCAATATTTTTTGAATTATAGCTTACGTGTTATTCTAATGTATGAGCTATATTATTGTAAAGTTTCATTAATCAATTATAAGTATAGTATAAAAATTTATAAGTCGAGTATGGTATAAGTATATGCCGTGTTACAATTTTATTTACAATTTATAATACTAAAAAACTGTAATAAAAAGAAAAAGACTAATAACCTAATTATCGTACAGTCCTAATCCCCATGGTATCGTGCCAAGAACGTTGGCTGTGTTTCCTCGCTAAATGGCTATACTTAGCCTTTGAGCGAGAAAAGAACCAGCCCTTATAATTAAAACTATTAACTTTAAATTATAAACCCTCATTTGCTTGGTTAATATGTAATTTTAAACATTTCCATTGTGTTACAGGCAAATGCAAACAGTCCAACTGGATTCAAAGATTAAAATCCTCGACAGTCCTGGAATAGTCTTTCATTCAGGATCAGATAATGATGCCTCCGTAGCATTGAAGAATGCGATACGAGTTGGCAGCCTCAAAGATCCGGTGACACCAGCAACTGCAATATTACAACGTGCACACAAACAAACACTGGTTGATTTGTATTGCGTACCACAGTTTAATACTCCACAGGTGTGTTTCGTTATTATTCGATTTTCTAATATATTTAAGAACATACAAAAATATACTATTAATAAATGACAGACAATAGATATTATTTGTTCAAAACAATGTTTGGTTAGTTATATGTTATAATTATATGTGGCAGAGCCATGCTGCAGTTATATTATGGTTGTAGCATGAATGGGGCTCTACCGGGGTAGGACCACGCTCTTACCAGCATGAAATAGCAAGTTAATTCTGCTGTGTTCCGTATGTTGAGTGTAAAGAACAGGAGACCCTTTTTATTGGAAATGAGGCATTCCATCATTGTCCTCATGGGTCACAACATCCTCAGAAGTCGGAAGTCAGGTGCATTTTGATTCTTAATCATACATTTACCATCAGATATTTAAGAACATACAGAAATCTACTAAAGATTAGATTAGATTACATAACGACGGGCTGATTACAGCAAATCCACGTATAAGCGCGTATATATACCATGCGTGGGGCAGGAATAATGCAATTATTCGATATCCATGAAATCTCCTTGAAGAAGTTCAACAGTCCTTTGATATAGCGCACGCAACTTCAAGGAATGATCTTAGTTTAGCCATGTATGCAGCGACCTCCGGACATGTCAGCAACACGTGAATCGCCGTTTCTTCCTCCCCCACACACGCCCTGCACAGGGGACTATCTGTAACACCTATTGTAAATAAATGTTTGTTAAAGGAGCCATGTATTGTGCTGTATCGATCACTAATAAAAATATTAGTGATCGATACTGTATTGTATCTCATTCTCTCGAAGGATAAATCCTATAGATGTTTGTCTCTTTTTAGTGTCGATTTTTCGTTTCATCGAGTTCCATATTACGACGATTCTAAACAAGTTTTCATTTCAAAAAGAATACTAATGTTAAAAAAAAACCTCTTTTTTTTAATGGACGAATTTCTTTGTATTTTAATTGTCTATTTTTTAAGCAACTATGTAAAATGGTACGATGAATACGCTAGCATCAAGCAGAACCATGGAAAGTTATTTATGTATTATTATAAATTGCTATTTTCAGGAATTTTTTGCAAGTTTGGCATCGCGAATGGGCAGGTTCAAAAAAGGCGGGGTGCCTGATCAAGAGGCCGCAGCCAGGATATTGTTGAACGATTGGAACACTGGCAAGGTATGTTTTAAATCTTTAACCCCACTATAAAACATTCCTGTGTCACACACTGGCAACACCCAGACCCGGAAAATTATTAGTAACTCACACAAATACATTTTCCGTGTTAAGTCTGACCCCCAACGCGAGAAGCTGCAACCAAATTTTATGCAGAAACACAAAAATTGTTAAAGATTATAAAGATGTAAGATCTGCGTGAAAAATAACAAAGAGTCTAGTTTCGAGAGCACCTTCCGCTCTCCCACTATCACCGTCACCACTTCCCAATACCACTTCATGGTTCACGGTGTTCAGCCTATCTCGTTGCGTAGGAAAGAGTAACGTCAACACAAAAAACGTTTAGTTTAACGGCAACTAAATGTGCTTCCTCCCTAAAGTTGACGCCCCCTAGAATCTGCCGATGGTACACCAATGTTGTTAACCCTGTTCGTAATTTTTTTAAAGGTTCACGATATATTATGTGAACAAAAAATTTTTTATTTCAGGTGCGATACTTTACAGAACCGCCAGAAGAAGATACGAACGTGCATGTGGACGCAAAAATTGTAACCACTATCGCCCAGGAGTTTGACATCAACTCTTTCGAGGCGATGGAGACCGAGGCCATGGACGCGTTGCAAGCAGGGAAAGATGATATTGAAGGCATTAAGGTGTGGAACTTCTTTAATTAATCGATTTGAAAAAAAAAATAAAGAGTTTTCCAGGCTATTTATTTTTGCGCAAAACAAAATGTGTATCATTCAGTAGATTCATATGCAGGCATAAACTATCGTCATTATGTTTATGAAACACCTATAGTGCATAAAAGGAAACTAATATTAAGGAAGACATTTTAAAGAATGAGGTTTTCTTCGTGTTTGAATAGTCTAGTTTTAAAGCAGCTGTAGGATTAAATGGGATTGTTAATTTGCCAGCAGAAAGTAGGAAAAATCATTTAAAAGTAAACTTTATCTCCTAAGGGACGAGGTCCGTGTGCTAAAAAAGATTAGTAAAGAAAGAAATAATAATATTGTAATGTTTGAGTTACTATCTACTATATACTATATAATGTCAGCTAATTACTTAATAGCTTCCAATAGAGCTTCCTTTTTTTGTCTCTAGTATCATTCCGTGTTTGTTGTAAAAGTCGGCTATGGGTTTTCCATGAAAAATGTATCATACAACATTTCATGGTGAGTTAACAATGTCAAAAACATACAAATAGACAGACTGACTCGATTGAGGAGCCGTCATTAGAATATAGGATTTATTATCATGTATATAAACGTTATCTTTAGGTGGCGACGTGAAAATAATTACTAACTTATATTTATTTCGTGGGTTTTATAAAATTTATACTAGTGTTAGGTGCCTGATCATGATACGATATGGTAAATGATCACACCAAAAACAAATGTGAAAAGGGGGCCGGTACAGGCGACGTTTGCGATTGTCAGATACTTCGATAAAAGGCTTGCAATCTCAATGAGCACCAAGCTCCATAGCAGTTGATTAAATCATATGATCTATATCATAGGGTTTCCCAACCTTTTTTACGTGGTAGAGCCATGCTGCAGCTATACTAGTAGTATAGCTGCAGATGCGATGTCCGTTGTCACCCGTGAGGACCAAGATGGAATGTCTCGTTTCCAGTAAAAATGGTCCCCGGTTCTCTAGACTCACCATAAGAAATACAGCAGCGTTAAGATGCTATTTTACGCTGGTATTATGTGAGAGCGTGGTCCTTCCCCGGTCGAGCCGACCCATTCGTATTACACCTATACCAATTAATATAGCTGCAGCATGGCTCTACCAAGTAATGGTCGAATAGAATTTTATAGCATTCATACTCGTAACAGAACGCAGCTATTGATCGAGTAAACAGTTATTTTTTGAACGCGATAAAATCTGTAAAATAATGCTTTTTTTCCATAATACATAATTATATTAAATGTTTTACTGGTAATTTCAACTTGGTCCTCTAATATTTTTTTCCAATTTTTCGGACATGGAGTCCTACTTTTAATTTTCTTTCACTGTGACTGCGAGACATGAGAGGTCGAACCTGCGCGCAGTGTATTTTATATATATTTTTTTAAATTATTCCATTTTTTTTAATAAGATAATTTAATTTATTATATTTAAGGTCTGGGTCGGGTCAAAAGCAGTTAATACCCGAGCTACCACGGTATTTATCTGATGCTGGTACTTAAGAATCAATTTAACTGGGGTCTTTCCCCAGCCTATATCCAGCAGTGGGCAGTTTTAGTCTTATGTTGGACATATTAGTAACTCCGAATCATATAATTTCACAGATAACTAGTACAGGGCCTGTCAAAGCTGCCCTAGAAGATGATATGCAAGTGGATGAAGACGAATCTTCGTTGCTACCTAAAAAAGTTAACATCAGGTCGAAATTAGAGAAAAATGAGAAAACAAAGGGGAGGGAGAAAAACGACCCCGAAATGCTTATAGAGGGTAACACCAAACAGAACAAGTTGCGGAAGATGCAGTTTAAGAAGGATAAAAAGAAACAGAAGAAAGCGGAGAAGCAAGCGGTGAATCTAGCGGATGTGTTGGAGAATGTCACTCTAACTACGTATAAAAAAACCGACGATTACGACTTTAAAGAAGACTTCTCGTTGTAGTGGTGTTTGGGAATAAAGTTTTATTTCCGTATATTTATTGTTTTATTAGTTAAACTATATAAAAATAACTTTATCAAAAAATCCGGATGTCAGTAGTCAGATTGCCCTCATTGATTCCGGATTCGAATCCCGGGTCAGGTCAAAAGCAATTATTGGTTTTACCCACGAAGCAAATACAAAGAGGAGATGGCATAAGCAACTGTGCACTGTGATTCTAACTAGGTCACGACGTCATCACAGTGGGCGTGGCTTTACTTAGTATACTGTCAGCGTTCGTCCTGTGCGCTTATGTGTCAAAAATCGCAAATCCGTGATATTAAGAAGAAAAGGATGAAGTGTTGTGTTTCATCGTGTAAAAAGTACTCAAATAGACGCTCTGATGCTATGGACGGCATTACATTTCATTTGTAAGTAATTTTATACCTAATTTATTAAAAAGGTTCTAGAAAAATCTCTGCGTCGGCTTTCAAATGTAATTAAATATGTTCAACACTAGATGGTGACACTTTGTGTCATGGAAACTAAAAATATAAAGTTACGTAGAGCTCAGTATTGGTAAAATAATCATACGAAGGTGTTGAAATTTGTTTTGCATTCAGTCGTAAAGAACTTTTAATCGCCAAAATATTATTTTTATAGTTTTATGATGATTTTGTGAACAAGCCGCCATTTATCATCAAGATAGCTAAACTACAATGCAACATCGATATGGAACGATTCGAGTAGTTTTACTATTTATGGATAGATGTAGATAGTAAAGTGGGCGGGGCTTAACATCCCCTCACCCCGCAAATTGTCACGCGTTGTTACATAGTGAAATCTAATTACAACACCTCCTCTTTGTATTTGCTCTGTAGGTTTACCTGTCAAGAAAACCTCAGTAGCAGCCCGGAGTCAAGAAGTAAGCGGTTTTTACAACCGTGCCTAGGAAAGCAAGCAGGGAAATCAGGAGCAGGACCAACGGCTTACGTTGGTCCTACTCCTGATTTCCCTGCAGTCGTGTCGGTTTTCCGTCCTGTCGGGCTATGAGAGTAAGAGACTAGACTGCACCTGTGCCTGCGCACACACTCGTGCACTACATTCCTGTCTTGCGCAGATGGCTACTAGTCTTTCAGACTTGACGCCGTGATCGAAATACGGTCTGAAGGACATTATTAACTTCGCAACTACTAACAGTCGCTTATTACTAATGGAAAGCAACAATGGTGTGTGTATATGCATATCCTAACTGACTTCCTTAACAGAGACATCGAAACATCCTCATTACCACCACAGTTTAGACCTTACCGTTGTGAAATGCCTTTGATGTCAGGCGATGCCGCCACACGCGTAGGCATAGATAACTGTGATAATACACTATATACCAGAGACCTGTAGGTATTTACGCGGCCATCGTGTATGCTAGGGGTTGTCACGAAAATGTAAAAACACATTGTGAATATTAAAATACTCATTATCATTTAGTAATATTATGTAAATATTTATAAGTTAAAAACATTTATTGGACAAGAACATTTTTATTACTACAAGAAAAAACACATTTACAAGTGTTGCACTGCCAAATATTTGAGTGACACTTTCTTTTTATAGAAAAAAAAAATGAGGCAAACATAAGCATGGGCGTCATTTGAATTCAATTTTACTTAGTAACTGATATAACTACAACAGTGATTCACCATTATAGATATTTTGTCGAAAACGGCACTTAAAATTAGTTAGATAAGTACTATATATAAAACACGCTCGCGCCGACCGCATGTATTGTATAGCAAACTCATTGAAGATTGAAGTGCGCTAGCACAAGGTCGGCCCGTCTCCTGCCCCGCAAGAACCCCACTATTGCTCTGCACATTCCTTTTCCCAACCGTAAGATCTTTAAACTGTTCTACAACATAATTCTTATCTTTCCACAAACCAAGCTTATTCCAATTCGGGGTGTAGTAAGAGGCGACTTAGGACTATACTGTTATAAAACAATGAAAATACTAACGACCAACGGATAACGGTAATTATCATCATCATTGGAGAGATATTTCTGGTGCAGCGATAGTCAATCCATCTGCCGAGCATGGCATAATCAAAATATATTATATACTAGCTTTTTACCCGCGGCTTCGCTCGCGCGCGTTTGAATTTAGGAACATCATTAAATGCTGTTCCGTGCCAAATTTAGAAAAATTAGATCACTTTTACAGTCACCTCGGTGTCTATGTCTGTCAAAGATTTTTGTTCATTCTAAAATACCATTAGACGTAGATGTTTGGTAACATGCTACAGAAACACGTGAATATATATGTCTAGAAACTCCTACTATTTTTTTTTATATCGGGCGTGTCTTCCGATTCCGATAGTCTTTAAATCAAAATGTATTATAATTATTTACATTTTACTCTTTACATTTATTCATAGTTAAAGTTAATTTAGTTTTAATTAGTAAAAAAGTATTATAATGTTTATTTGAGACATTTTATTCATATCATTGGTCCTATTTTATATTGATTGGCACCATAAAATAGATATAGATATATTTTTTTTTACTTCTAGTAGACTTAAATATTTCATAAATACAGTTCTATAATAATGAATACTACACATGGATTGAAACTAATGTTACGGGTTTTTTAAGCATCTTGGATGATAGTTCCGAGTAAAAGAACATATCGTTGATGTGAAGCACCGAAGCTCCGGGAAGTCTAAAGCATGTCAACATGTTTAGTATCGTCTCAACCATTATATCGGATCTGATAGACAACAAATCCTTGCAATAGAACACCGAATCCTACCAATGATGATTCGCGAGGCTATCGAAATTAAAAATATCCTAATTTTAATAGGGAAGATGGCTGAGTGCTACGAGTACCATCTGCTAAGGACCCCATAATTAATAAAATTAAATTCAAACTACTACTGCATTTATTCTATTCTATTTTAACTATGACATCAGGTCGTCAAACACCTCAGTTCTCCCTCCCCTCCCGTGATCATGGGTGCTGTAAAGTGTCCAAAAAATCGGGAATTTAAAAAGTTTAAATTAAACGCGAGAAAATCCTTAAAATTAGTTTTGTTCCTTATAAATATTATTCACAGTGAACGTGAGGATCACTACACTCATGAACGGGTGTAAAAAAAGATTCGCCCTGTTGTGGCGGTGAAAGAAAATCCACCACCTCATATCGTGCCGTCGTAAGAGGCGACATAGGAAAACAAACTGGAGATGGGATGGGCTGCATCATCTTCTTGACAACAGATCAAAATAATAATAGCTGCGGTTGCCAACCCGCATTTTTACTTTTACCCTCATCTTTGCAAGCTTTAATATTTACTGTAGAGTGAAAACTAAAAGTCGAAAAAATGAATAAAATAAAAACTGCATACATTGCCCCATGAAAAGTAAAAAAGCAGCAGCTTACATGTTTCTAATGGGCACAGGCCACAGAGTTTTTGGCCAAAAAAGTGTTCGCTGCGCTGATTCCAACGCGAGATAAATGTAATGTTAATGATTCAATTATTTACATCGTGTATTCTGTAGCATTGTATTATTTCATTTTATCAATGACTTGCCATTTTAGTTTATTCAGAAGTAAGTAGGTGGCGCTAATATTAGATGAAATAATGAAAGCTAAATCCATACCATCTACGAGGGTGGATTGAAAAGTACTCGGCCTAACACAGATCTATTCAATTCTAAAAATCAAATCTACCCACATTATTTAGTTCAGTTCAGACTAGTTCATTGTGTGAAGTTCGAAACGTGTGCGATAATTAGTTGTGATTTTATAAATTTATTAACAAAGTAATCGGACATAATTTCCGCGAATGGAGCAAATCGGGCAGCGTGCCGTCATTAAGTACCTCCATAAGAAGGGGCTATCATCAAAAGCCATCCATGATGACATGGTCAGTACATTAGGCGATTGTGCTCTGTCATATTCATCCGTCAAAAAATAGATAGCGGAATTTAAGCGTGGTAGAGAGAGTGTGAAAGATGAACCCCGCTCTGGAAGGCCTTCGACGTCAACTACTGACGAAAATATTAAAAAAGTACTTGATTATGGGAGACCGCAGATTAAAAATTAGAGAGATAGCCGAGATTATAGGCATCTCTTATGAACGAACTCAAAACATCATTGTCAACGAGTTGGGTTTCCACAAGGTGTCTGCGAGGTGGGTTCCGCGACTGCTTTCAGTTGAACAAAAAAGGACGCGATTGACTATTTCACGCGACTGTTTGGAGTTATTTGAAGCCGATGCAGATGATTTTTTGAATCGTTTTGTTACTATGGACGAAACATGGGTTCATTACTGTACACCGGAAACAAAACAACAATCAAAACAATGGAGAAGACCTGGTTCACCACCCCCTAAAAAGGCTAAGTCGATTTTGTCGGCAAATAAGGTGATGGCTTCAGTATTCTGGGACTCGAAAGGTGTGATTATGATTGATTATCTTGAAAGGGGTCAGAATATAAACTCTGATTACTACTGCACCTTACTACGTCATTTACGAGAGGAAATAAAAGAAAAACGTCGAGGAATGCTCAGAAGAAAAGTCCTGTTTCATCAAGATAACGCCCGTGTTCACACGTCAGTACAGTCAATGGCTGAAATTCACAACTGTGGCTTTGAACTGTTACCGCATCCGCCGTATTCACCTGATCTGGCACCATCAGACTTCTTTCTGTTCCCTAACCTAAAAAAGCACTTGAGAGGTCAAAGATTTTCGACAAACGACGAGGTCAAAGCAGCTGTAGACGCATATTTTGACTCTAAGGAAGAATCATTTTTTTCAACGGTCTAAATGCTTGGAAGGGGAGGTGGCAAAAGTGTATTGAACTTGATGGTGATTATGTAGAAAAATAAAAATATAACTGATTTAGTATTTGTTTATTTTCTTGGTTAGGCCGAGTACTTTTCAATCCACCCTCGTAGTAATATAAGCAATAGAAGCGAACATTTATTTATTATATCAATAAGGGATAAAGTTATGTCAATTCTCTTAA